AATAAAAATGGACTATGGTATGGATTAATACATTAAAGAAATTATAGTCTTTTGATTTTGGTTAAACTTATAAGAACATTGTAATATTAGGAAGCACCTATTCTTCTGTTGATGAAAGTGCAAATAAAAATGAAAATCCAGAAGAAACCGCTATCAATAAAAGTGCTGAAATGACTGCTATTAATGAAAATACTGAAATAACCATCATAAATAAAAGTGCCGAAATAACCACCATGAATGAAAATACTGAAATAGTTAATGAAAATGATGAAACAACGGTTGATGAAAGTTCTGAAGTTACCACTAGTAATAAAAAATGCAAGCTAATATCATGGGTTTTTAAGGAAGGTCATTTTATCATGGGTTTTTAAGGAAGGTCATTTTATTAAGCATCCCAAAAAAGTAAAAGTTTATGTTTTATATAATATCACAATTATTAATTTGATAAAATAGTAAATCTTTGTAATATATAATTTATTAGAGGATTATGCTTAATGCACATACTGTAAGAGTGCAATAAAGCATAACAACATAATGGGGACCAGTACATTAATTCATCATATGAAAAATACAAAATGTAGTAAATATCTTAAAACTGACAAATCGCAACAAAGATTGCAGCTTTCTTTATCAGGCGTTGTAACCTATAAATTTTTCCAAGAAAGAAGCCACCGAGATTTGATTAATATGATTATTATGCATATATATCTATTTTGTATAGTCGAGCATGAAAGATTTCTAACCTTTGTTTACAATTTACAGCCACAGTTTAAAATGATAAGTAAAAAAACAGTTTGTGAAGACTCACAAAAAATCTTTGAAGACCTTAAATCAACAGCCCGTATATTAATTCACAAAGCACCAGAAAATTTAAGTTATACAATAGATTTATAGACATCAAACCAAACTCTCAGGTATATGGCTGTTACATATCATTTTATTGATGTCAATTTGAAATTCCAAAAATTAGTTATAGCATTCAAACTAGTTTCCGCACTACATACGGGGGTTGCTATTAGTGAAATGCTTTTTGAATGTTTTAATGATTGGGATGTTGTATCTAAAATTTTGTCTATTACTGTAGATAATGCAACTAGTAACGAAGTTGCAATTAATAATATAAAAAATAATCTTGATGAAAAAAACATGTTTATAGCTAATGGTATTTTTTACACCAACGTTGTTGTGCTTATATTTTGAATCATATAGTCGGAGATGGTCTTAAAATGGTTAAG